TGCTTGTGTTCCCTCTCTCACTGTGTCTCTCTGTAAAATAAATAAAATCTTTAAAAGAAATAAATAAATAAAAATAAAATAGAGAACTTCTGGGGCACCTGGCCAGGTCAGTCAGTGGAGCATGCAACTCTTGATCTCAGGATTGTGAGTTCTAGCCCCACATTGGGTGTAGAGAGTACTTAAAAACAAAACCTTTAAAATGGAGAGTTTCTTTGTAATCTGATATGTGATACCTTCTTATAAATATTAGTATTATTAAATACACTTTATTTTTCAGACCAGTTTAAGGTTCACAGAAAAATTGAGTGGAAAGTGTAGAGAATTCCCATATACCCTACATCCCCATATACTCACACCTCCTTCACTACCAACATCCTACGCCAGAGTGGTAGGTTTGTTACAATTGACAAACTTACACTGACACATCAGTATCACTCAAAGTCCATGGTTTTCATTAGGATTCACTCTTGGTGTTGTACATTATATGACTAATGTATAATGACATGCCTCCACCATTGTGGTATCATATAGAATAGTGTCACTGCCCTAAAACTTCCCTGTGCTCCACCTACTCATCCCTCCCTCCCTCCAATCCCTGGCAGCCACCAATCTTTTACTGTCTCCATAGTTTTGCCTTTTCCATAATGTCATATAGTTGGGCTCACACAGTATATAGTCTTTTCAGATTGGCTTCTTTCACTTAGTAATATGCATTTAAATTTCTTCCACATCTTTTCATGGCTTGATAGCTCATTTCTTTTCAATGCTGAATAATACTCCATTGTCTGGATGTACCACAGGTTACTTATCTGTTCACCTAGTGAAGGACATCTCAGTTGCTTCCATGTTTTGGCAGCTATGAATAAAGCTACTAATAACATCTATGTGCAGTGTTTTATGTAGACAAGTTTTCAACTCATTTGGTAAATACCAAGGAGTGTGATGGATGGATCTTACGGTAAGGTTATGTTTGCTTTTGTAAGAAATGGCCAAACTGTCTTCCAAAGCAGTTGTACCATTTTGCATTCCCACCAACCATGAACAAGAATTCCTGTTGCTCCATATCCTCTCTAGCATTTGATGTTGTCAGCATTTTGGACTTTGGCCATTTTAGTAAGTGTGTTGTGGTTGTTTTCATTTGCAATCTCTAATGATATATGTTGAACATCTTTACATATACTCATTTGCCATCAGTATATCTTCTTTGATGAGGTGTGTGTACAGATATTTTCCCCATTTTTTAATTGGGTTGTTTATTTTCTTATTGTTGAGCTCTTTGTATATTTTGGATAACAATCCTTTATCTGATATATCTTTTGCAAATATTTCTTTCCCAAACAGTTATTTTCTTTTTAACAAGAATGGTGGAATGGAATTAGTATCAAAATCATTTATAGAGCTGTGGCATCTGGGTGGCTCAGTCAGTTGAGCGTCTGACTCTTGGTTTCGGCTCAGGTCATGATCTCATGTGTTGTGGGATGGAGCCCTGTGTCGGGCTCTGCACTCAGTGGGGAGCCTGCTTGAAGATTCTCTCCCTCTGCCCCTTCTCACACTCACACTTTCTCTTTCTCTCTCTCTCTAAAATGAATAAGTAAATCTTTAAAAAATCACTTATAGAGCTTTAACTATATTTAGAGCTTTAACAATATATAGAACTTTAACTATATATAGAGGATGCAAGTATCCCACTCCAAACCTACCAACCAGAATCTTCACAGGTGCACCTGAGCACATGCAGTTTTATGAGCTCGGAGGCAGGGGAGCAGTGGAAATGGAGGGGCTGGGTGGGTGGAGGAGCCCAGGACTGGGCAATTGATAAAAGGTGGGGAAGGGAAGTGTCAGGACTGACTCCCAGGTTCTTGGCTTCAACAACTGATTGCAAGGAGAGGCTGTTTACTGAAATGGAGAACCTGGAGGAGAAGTACATCAGGGGAAAGATTAAGAGCTTGGTTTCAAATATGTTGAACTTGAGAGGCTGTTAGATATCCAAGTGGAGATCCCAAACAGTCAGAGGAATCACAAATGGATCCAGATCCAGACGGACTTAGAGGATGATGTGTCTGAAGATGGCATTTGAAGAGGTGTGCCAGGGTGAGATCAGCTGAGGAGACAGTGTGTGTTGAAGAAAGGAGAAGATAGCCTCATTTTAACTTAATCACCTCTTTAAAGACCCTGTCTCCAAATACAGTCAGATCTGAGGTACTGGGGGTTAGGACTTCAACATAATGAATTTTGAGGGGACACAATTCTGCCTGTGGCAGGCAATGAAGTCCAGTGAGCCCTGGGCACTGAGGGCACTAAGCACTTGGGGTGCACAGCCCAGAGTTCTGGCCTCAAGATGGACATGTGGGGGGTGGTGGAGCTTGTATCTCCCCTTCAGCACCTGGCAGCCGCCCTGACCCCCTTGCCCACTCTTACCTACAGGCTCTCTAGTTGGTCAGAGACTCTCAGACCATCCCGATGTGCGGAAAATTGGGTTCACAGGTTCCACAGAGGTGGGAAAACACATCATGAAGAGGTAGGTGGTTGAGGCTACCTCTGGTCACAGTGTTGGGATGTGGACAATGCTGTGTGTGAACTTGATGCAGGTTCTGACTCTGTGTCTGGGTTTCTGACAAGCCCTTGGTGGGTCTGGTGCAGCTGCTCTGTGGAGCATACTCAGACCAGGGGGCTGCTGAAGACAATGCGATTTGGGGCCATGAGCACAAGTGGGACAGAGCTGCTCTGAATTGAGATGTGCTTCAAGTATAAAAGGTCCACCGGATTTTGAAAACTTAGTACACAAAGTGGCTCGTTAATAACTTCTTATATTAAGGCACTTGGGTGGCTCAGTCGTTAAGCATCTGCGTTCAGCTCAGGTCATGATCCCAGGGTCCTGGGATCGAGCCCTGCATCAGGCTCCCTGCTCTTCAGGAAGTCTGCTTCTCCCTCTCCCACTCCCCCTGCTTGTGTTCCCTCTCTTGCTGTGTCTCTCTGTCAAATAAATAAAATCTTAAAAAAAAAATATTGATTGCAAGTTGAAATAGTATTTTTTATTAATTGGGTTAAATAAAATATATTAGAATTAATTTCATTGGTTTCTTTTTCATTTTCTCTTAAAACTAAAAGAAATTTAACTTAGTTTTTTAGTGGCTACTAAAGAATTGCCATTACATATGTGGCTGGTATTTGAGGCATTTTTTCTAGTCTATTGGACAGCCCCGTTCTAGAACATCCTCTCATATTCATTGGACTTGCCTCAAGCAGCTGGGGTTGTGTTTCTTTCTCTGTCACTAATTCATGATATGACTGGGGCCAAGCCTAACCCTTCCAGGCCTCAGTTTCCCCATCAGTTCAGCAAAGGTAGTTTGCATGCTCCGTGGTGCTGGTCTATGTAGCTGATGAGCTTGGAGAGGGCTGGACCACAACACAGTACCTTGTAGCCCTGGCTTCCCCAAGACAACCATGGGATGCCTGAGCCCCACCCCACTGAAGCTGGATTCTGGAGGTGGGTTTCAGGCATCTATAGGTGAGTGAAAGGTACAAATAGAGAGGAGCTGGGGCTTCTGTTGGACATATTAACACCTTTCTCTGAGGTCATGTGACCACCCTCATCTGTCTCTTGTTGTAAGACTCATGCATGGGAACTCCCGGGGCAGTCCAGCTATGACATGACAATTCCATGGGGAGAAAGGTTTCTCTTGTGTTAAAACAGCATCTCATTGTAGCCCCCAATGCACAGCAGTGGTTTTTCTCCCTGGGACTCTTCTTCAGCCTCTGACCCTGCTCTCCATGGGCCCCTCTGTGTGCCACAAGATGGGATTCTCACCCCTTGGCCCCACGACCCCTCTGTGAGCTGGGGTGCAATCTGGCCCTGCCCTCTTACTTGAGTGGCACCCTGCTTGATCACAGCAGCTTTACATGAGATCCTCTTCTGGGTCAGGAGCCACAGCCAGTGTGGCTCGGGGAGCATGTCTTTAGGGTCGGTAGGGGCTGATGTCACAGCCTGTGAGCGGGCCAGGTGGAGCTGTTCTGATTCATTTTGAGTGTAGGAGAACGAGCCTCAGCATTGAAGAGAGGGAAGCTGGCGGTGGTGCAGGACTGACGGACAGAGGGCAGATGGATGGATGAGGGAGTTGGAGGGGTGGCTGCAAGTAGTCACAGCAGCTTATTTACCTGTCCTTACTCAAAAGCTAGCTAGTGTCTCCTGTGCTGTATAGGCGATAGTCATATGTGAGCACATGTGTGCTAAGGCCAGAGGGAGGGCTCAGTAAATATCAGCTCTGAGGAGTCCAGGGCAGGAGGGCTTGGGTAGGTATCCTGTGGCTCTGGGACTGCCATCTTCTGGGGGCTTTCCAAAACCCCTGTGGCTGGTGCCTGAGATGGAAGCCCTCTTCCTGGGTCAGTCCTGAGTGAGGAGACCCCCCACTCCCACCCTGTGCCATGCCTGTGTTTCACTGGTCCAATCCTTTAATGTCCCTTGAGAGGACAGTATCAGTAAGCCCACTTTGTGCCCACCGATGCAGCGTGCACAGGATCCCCAGCTTCTCTCTGCACCTGTCAGTAAAAATCTGAGGTGCCAGAGTCCCTGTGGCAGTGCAGCTGCCCCAACTGGGGAATGGTTCTGTGTTTGGTTTATTCATTGGATATTTACCAAACACAGCTGCATGACCAGACAAATGCCCGCCTGCCCCACTGGGGCTTATGTTTTGATGGGCAGGGTTGGAAACAAATACAACGTGCAGCAAAGCACAGCAGGTGCGGAGCACAAGAGCATGCTATTTATAGGGAGCAGTCGGGCCAGGTACCCCAACCAGGGGATAGAGCAGAGGCCAGAAGGAAGTGAGGAACAAGCTTTGAGGACATCTGAAGGAAGAGTGATCCAGAGAGGGCTGTGAGAGCAAAGGCCTGTGGTGGGTGTGGGCCTGGGTGTGGAAGAGGAGGAAGAGGTGTGGCAAGGGGAGGGAGGTGGGGAGAGCTGATGAGCATGGGAGTGGGGAGAAGCTCCTTCTGACCCCCTGCTTGCTCTTTGAGTAAAGCATGCTTTGGAGCTTCCCACCTGGAGCCCCTGTGTCTCAGTCTCCCAAGGACCCAGCCCTACCAACCTCTGTCCCTTTCAGTTGTGCCCTGAGTAACGTGAAGAAGGTGTCCCTGGAGCTGGGAGGGAAGTCGCCCCTCATCATCTTTGCTGACTGTGACCTCAGCAAGGCTGTGCAGATGGTAAGGGCCTGCCTTGGGGGGTGGAGGGGGGGCACTTATCTCTGATTCTACAGTCAAACTCACACATTGGGCCTAGACTGGCAGGAAGGGGCCTAGGGGACGGATGACATATGCCTTCTAGAAAACAAACTTCCCAAGAAGTTTCATTATTGTCAAGATTACTGAGATCAACTTCACAGGATGGGAAATGTAAGCCACAGTTCCATCTGTTCTGAAATCAGCATGACTTTTCCTTTTTGCCATGTCCACTTGCCCAGCTCCACCACTGACCCACTGGGCAGCCTCAGGCAAGTTACTCAACGTTTCCGGGCCTCGTGTTCTCACCTATACCCTAAGGAGAATACTCCTTTGGTTGTTACAGGGATTCAACAAGCTATTAAGTCTGAAGGGCTTAGAAGATGTGGCAGGTGCTGTGTGTCAGGGGTTCTTATGCTTGTATTATCATTGCCATTGTTATGCTTCGGTCCCCTCTCCACACCTGTGGGAGTAAGCCAGTTCAACCAGGTGTCCAAGTATGCCCCATTCCGTCTAAGTCTCACTGTGCCTTGGAGGACAATGTGACGCCCAGCATGGGCACGAAGGGGAGTGAAGCCTCAGATAGGGAAACTGAGGGAGGCAAGTCCAACAGCCCAAGGGTCTTGGCCCCAGTGCCAAGGCCACTGCTGCAGGGCCAGAGGCCCAGGCCATGTCATTGGGCAATGCAATCCCAGCTGCCAGGAGAGCCAAGCTCTCCCTCCTCCCTTGGCCCCCCACATAGGGCTTCCAGGTCCAAAATGCAGGCTCCCTTGAGCCTCTGAGGACATTTATTCTGGAATCCTGCGAGGAGTTCTCTCAGGCCTGGGCTGGCACCCAGTCTCTCCCAAGACAGGGGGCTGCCTGCCTGCCTTTGCCTTCCATCTGCTGCCTGCCCCAAGCTAACAGACTCTCCAGGCTCAGCCCCAAGAGTGTGGACTCTGACCCCTCCTGCATCACCCCAGGGAGCACACCGGCATACAGGGTCTCCAGGTTCACTCCACTCCTCTCCACTCCCTCTTGTTCTCTACTCTCTGTAATGTGGACACAGGTGTCTCCCCAGGGGATGGGACTCAGCTCTCCTCTTGAGGTGACTGAAGAATGAGTAGAGCCTGTATGTCCATTGCTGGCTGGGCCTGGCCCACCATCCCATTGGAGGTCAGGACACACACATTCCTCCCCTTCTCTATAAGAAGGGGGTACATGGGCCTGGTGGGGTGTGGGGGGCTGGCACCCTGGGAGCGGTTGTAAGCCAGCATCCTTATCCATTCTCCAAAGGGGATGAGCTCCGTCTTCTTCAACAAAGGGGAAAACTGCATTGCCGCGGGACGGCTTTTTGTAGAGGACTCGATCCACGACCAGTTTGTACAGAAGGTGGTAAGTTCTGCTGCGGAGTCTTCACTGAGACAGCCACCTGTGCTGCAGGGGGTAGGGGGCAGGGAGGCAAGGCTGGGCCAGGTGGAGTCAGGCACTGTCCATCTGAGTCAGGAAACCCTCACACAAAGCTGTATCCTTTTTCACGTGTTTTCATTATTTCAGCAAGAAATAGTAACCCTGCAGCTCAGACTGACATAACCAGAAAGGGCCTGTCCTAGGTCAGCTCCCCAGCAGTGAAGCCTAAGCCAGGAATTCAGGTGCATGTGGCACACTATTGGCGAGCTGTCAGGTGAAGCCTGGGAGGTGAGAGGGACCAGGAGAGGACAGGGACAGGACATGTTCTCAAGTGACATCCAGCCCTAGCCTGACCCACAGATAGGAGCTCTGGAGCACGAATGATACCTCTTAGGTGTACCCCTGGGGTCCAGGGGCCAGGCTTTTGTCCTCTGTCAGCAGTTGTTGGCTGTGAGTGTTCATGGGCTAAAGGAGGTCTCCCTGGGACCTGGGACCGTCAGCAGCCGCCTCTCTTGGCTGCTGCAGGGTGGGTACTCACAGGTAAAGAGGATGGGTGTGGTACTCACAGCATCTCCTACATTCTTACAACATAGAACCAGAAAGGAAGTCACTCTGTCCCCACTGATTCTGTTGGAAAAGGTTGTGGGGAAGGATGCTGGTTGGTGTGACTGGGTCCCAGGTCTATCACTGGTCCATTCAGTGATTGCAGGGCCTACGGAGCTCTGGTTGGCTCAGCTTCAGCCAAAAGCCCTTCCTCACATCCTGGAGAGCAGAGTCTGATCCCAGCGGATATGAGAGGGGATGCTGGAACACAGCCCCTATGTGCAGGTTTTAAAAACTATATTTAGGAAGCCAGGAAAAAAGAGAAAGCAGGACTGGTACAAGGTGAGGCAGCTGTTAGGAAGGAGTTCTGGAGAGGGTGTTGGATAATGGGTAAAAATATGAAAGGCAGTGAGGAAACAGGATTTCTAGAAGGGAGTGTAACAGCTTTTGCCACATAACAAGCTACTCCCAAAACTTAGTGGCTTGGGATAACAGCAGTTCATGCAGTCACAGCCCTGTGGGTTGGTACTGTGGCACCAGCCCAGGTCCACAGAGCTTGCTTGTGCATCTGCGGTCAGCGGGGGCACTTGGTGGCTGTGTTGGGACGGCTTATCTTTGTACCTGGGGTCCTTCATCCTGCAGCATGTGCTCAGACACATGCAGGGCCAATGGTAGGACTCCTAAGAGTGAGAATAGGAGTGTAGAGGCCTCTTGGGGAGTGTAGAGGCTTCGTGGGACCCCTAAAGTTTGCTTCTGCCACATTCTGCCAAGTCACAAGCCAGCTCAGATTCAAGGGGTGGGAAACCAACCCTATCCTGATGAGAAATGAATACAATACATAACCCACTGTAGTTTGGGAGCTGGGCAGCCTAGCTGAGTGAGTCCATCACTGCTATAGGCCCAGCACAGGACTGGCTGAACCTGGGGCATGGATGGGGAGTCACGATGGAGGGCCCATGAGGGGGCAGCTCACTGAGTGGATGTAGTTGCAGGGAACATAGCTGGGCAAGCCCCAGTCCCCTCCAGGAGTCTGCAAGGGAGTCGTCAAACCCCCACAGGGTGAGGGCAGGGGTCAGAATCCCAGGAGAATCCCAGAATCCCAGGAGACTGTCAGGATAGTTTCAGCTCCCAAATATAGGAAGCGAGAGGCACATCCAGGACACTCAGCATTATTACTCTTGGCATCCTAGGGATGGAGTTGGGGGTGGGGGGTAGTTGGTGGCCAAGTGGGAGCAGAGAAGGGGAGCAAGGCAGGAGATGGGGACTCCCTTCAGCACAGAAGAGCTAAGGGGTCCTTGGTGAGAGGGCAGGGGTGGTCCTTGGGGGCTTGAGTGTCTTCTGATTAGGCCTGGCTGGGGAGTGTAGAGCCTGAATGGAGGGGTGAAGTAGCCCTGGCCTCGGAGGAGGAGGAGGAGGAGGAGGAGGAGAAGGCCAGTCAGGCCTGACCTTGATGCAGCCACAGTGAGGGTAGAGATGACCTTGTTTGGTCTTAAGAAACTGAGGAAAACACCTGGAGATATGTGACAATAACAGGAGGGGTGAACCCCAGCCAGGAGCCCAGAAGGTCTAATGTCTACCTCCCACTGGAGGTGGGACATGCCATATGAGTTCTTTTCCGTAGCACAGCATCCCATATTCAGGGGCTTTTCTGACTCTCTGCATCCAACCCCAGAATCCATCAGATACCATGTAGCACATCTTTTGTGGAGACCCAAACCCAGGGCAAAGCCTAGACCTACTTTTAGGTTGGCTGAGGCAACAAGGAAGGCTTTCCAGAGGAGGGGGACTTGAAGCTGGGCTCTGAAGCAGGAAGAAGTAGAAGCAGGAGTGGGTGGACTCAAGGCCCAGGCCCCTCCACTCCACTTAGAGTCTATTCCTCTTATCACCAGGGCATTGCAGCAAGACATGTGTTTACCTGCCCCACCCCCATTCCATATTCTGGAGGCCCCAGACAAGCATTCTCTCAGCTTCTCAGCCTATGAAGCTGGGTGCGGGACCACTGTAGGGACACACTTTTTGCTGGCCCATGTCTGGCCCTCACCCTGTCCCTGGACACCTCCGTTTTCTCAGCCTGTCTGATGCTAGGCTTGGGTCTCCTTGCACATTGGATACGTTTGGGGTCTCAGCCTGGGAGGCAGGTTTGGAACCAGAATAGAGACCGTCCTGAGGACATGTGGACTTTCTTCACAGCCCAGTGGCTGGTCACCGAACATGCAAACACATTAGGCAGGTCAGGCTGGGAGTATCGTCAGAAACCATGGTACCTGAGCAGAACCTGACTGGGAGGACTCTCCACAGGTAGAAGAGGTGAGGAAGATGAAGATCGGCAACCCTCTAGACCGGGACACCAACCATGGGCCACAGAACCACCAAGCCCACCTGCAGAAGCTGGTGGAGTACTGCCAGTGCGGCGTGGAGGAAGGGGCCACGCTGGTCTGTGGTGGGAGTCAAGTCGCTCGGCCAGGTCAGACCTCAGAGCACTCATGGCCCACTGGGCTGACCCGGAGGGCAGGCAGCATGGTCTCTGGTCTCCTGCCCCACTCTAACTGGAGGTATGTGAAGGCCACGGTTAGGCTCCCAGGCCTCAGGGCTCATCCGGGACATTGGCTGCGGTGGCCTTGGATATTTGGACCCCAGCCAGACCAGGTGTGGTACTGGCAAGGTGAAGACACCAGAGCTGAAATCCAGTCAGTGCCGGTTTAATGCATATCATAGTGGACTTTGATTTGCTATAAACATCTCCGCATCCTTGAATTCTTTCCTCCCGTGGATTCCATGGCACTGGCTTTCATGGCTTTCTGTCTTTGGCATTACTTCTCAGCAGTCACTTTTCGCTGAACCTCCCTCTCCACCTGTGCCTTAAATGGAGGTATATCCCCAAGTCTCTCCTGAGCTTGGAGCGCTTCTCATGGCAGACCCTTTCCCTGGAGGATCTCACCCCCCGCAGTGGCTCACACCCTCCCAAGTATCTGTCTCCGGGCTCCTCCTCATCCAGAAATCCTGACCACCTAGACACCTCCACCCACATGTCCCCAGGCCCTTCAGACTGAATGGGTACCAAATCCATCACATCATCTGACTGCCCTAACCCAGACATACACTTGCCTCTCTAGAATCTTCCATTTGTTCAGGTCACTGGAGTCAGAGGAGCAGGGGCTGCAGCACGGACTGTTTGAGATGCTTCCTTGTCAGACTGCCCACCACATGGGGACAGGCACCGTGTCTGTCTTCTACACCATTAGGTCCTTCACGCCAGCACTGAGACTCAACCAAACCTGAGTTAATTTGATGGAAGGAAGGAAGGAAGGAAACAATGAATTCTAGACTCCTCTCTTTTCTTGACCGCCTACTTTAAATTAATTGCCCCATTCTCTTAAATTAAAAATCTGTCTTCCTCCCCTGCATCCCTACTGCCATACTGCTGACTTTGCAGCTCGTTTTGCCTGCGCCATCATATCTGCTTCCTGAGGAACCTTTTGTACCATGCTAACCCTTTACCTATGGTAGCTGCCAGAAGTCTGATTATGTCTCCCCCAATGTTGAAGCAACTTATACAGTGACCCATCCTCCTGCAGCAGCAAGCTCAAACTCCTTACTTCATACCCAGGGTCTTCCATGGTCCTAAGCTAACTGGCTTGCCCATGACCCATGCTCCAGCCACATTTTACTCTCTCTGAGTACATCTCACGCTTTCCTGCTCCCTGGGCTTCTGCTGCTCCTCTGATTAGCAAACACCTCCCCATTTCCTCAACTGACAAATTCATCAACGAGCTCAAATAACATCCAGGCCCAGACCCTAGGTGCTCCTGTGTCACAGACGCTCCCTGGCACCTCATACAGTGACAGTTTTATAGCCACTGATGGCCACTGATGGCTACCCCCTTCCTTGCCCTCAGTAGACTAGGGGCTCCATAAGGCCAGAGTTCAGGGTCTGATGGGAGGGAGTGAAGTGAAGGCATGGTTTGCAGAACAGTTAGGGGGGTGCAGCCCCCAGAAACCAGGATACTGGAGAGCCACTATCACCACCCCCTGGCCTGAGGGCTCAGAGGAGGGAGCAGAATTCCTAGAACCTGGTGAGGAGCAGAGCTGTAAGCTACAAATCCAACTGGACATCAGAGGATGAGGGAGGCTCATCTGGGAGGGGAAGAGTATAGAACGAATAGAAAAGGGACAGAGCCCGGCCAGTGCAGAGCCTCCAGCACCTGGTGGGCAGCAGCTCGTTTGCAGACGGAGAGAATACAGGCCATACCACATGAGTCAACATGTGTTCATACCTAACGTAGCTTTTTAAAAACTGTAGTTAATGTTAAAATATAATTTATAAATGTATGAAAAGTATGGAATATTTTATTAAGTTGTATTTAAAGTTAATTTTTTTTCCTAAAAACTGGAAAGAGAAAATTTCAAGTCTCAATTTTCCCTTAGTCAGGCTAAATTACATCTCAGTCCATTAAGGTCTCCGGGTCCCTGGGCTCTGTGTCTAGAGGAGAAATAGAGGAAGCATTTCTGCTGTCAGAGGTGGCTCCATCTACAACCAGGGCCTGTAGGGGCAGCAGTCTGGATGGGAGGAGGTGGTGGCTTGTGTTGACAGGATAGCAGGAGGCTGTATCCTGGCTGAAAGTAGTCACCTTTGCACCTGGGGCATGTACCTGCACTGAGGGGCCAGGAATCAGGGAGACAGTCCTGAGAGGTCCTGTCCGTCAGAACCCATGTCCAAGGCTCCCCCACCCCCAGCTCAACCTACTCCACAGGGACTGATGGAGAGCCATCTGAGGGGCTGCACTAGGTAAAGAATCTCCACTATATCACAGACCAACACTGAGCTGCTCATCTTCCTCAGCAGCATTTAGTTGAAAGGGTTGTGAGGATCCTGTGAACTCATACACCTGGGGCAGGAAAGCCACCCACCGTCTGCAGCATCCACCACACAGGTGTCACAAACTGCAGAATGTGTGCATGGTGGCTGGTGGGGCCCAGGCCTGGCTGGGGAGAGGACCGCCCACCTGCACACCATGAACCTCTGTCTCCCCTGTAGGTTTCTTCTTCGAGCCGACTGTTTTCACGGACGTGGAGGACCACATGTTCATAGCCAAGGAGGAGTCCTTTGGGCCCATCATGATCATCTCTCGGTTTGCTGATGGGTAGGGAGTCGTGCTTATATCTCTTGAGAGCCTGATCCTCTTCCATGCCTTACTGGGGTCTTTGCTTGAGCTTCGTGGAGGGGAGTGCAGAAGGGGAATGCAGATGGGGTGGGGGCTGTGGATACAGCCTAGCTTCCTGCCAAGTCCTTCTCAACCACTGAAGGTAGGAGAGCCCTAGGGGACCTGCAAGGCTGGGTCCCACTGAGAGTGTCTTCCTTGTCTCTCTGATGCCTCTCACGGCATTCTGGGTTCTGTTCCTATCCACTGCTGCATAATAAACCACCCCAAACCTTGGTGGCTTAGAATAGCAAGTTACTTAATTCACTTGTGAGTCTTCAATTTGGTCAGAGTTCCATGGGGCTGGCCGCCTCTGCTCTGGGCCATGTCGGGGCAGCTGCTCCCCAGCACCCAGCTCAAAGAGGCCAGGTGGAAGATGCAAGTCTCCTCAAGAACTATCAATTGGCCTCAGAAAGCCCAGAAGCTCACTTCCACCTGTCTTATTGGTCCAGCAAGTCACTGAGGCCAGACCTGGCTTAAAGGGAGAGGAAATGGGCTGGCCATAATTGCTCTACCACGGGCTCTTTTCCTGACTATTATTCTTCAGAGTAGCACCTTTGAGCAGATTACAGAATGGCATCTCATCCTCAATACCCTATATTTTCAACTATCAAAAAATTACCAAAATTTTCTTTACATGCTGGTTGTATTAGAATGAGATACTTTTCTCCCATCTACCAAGCATTGTGGTCAGTCTTCAAGCCTGTGATGTCTGTGGATGCCCCCAGTGTAGCTGCCCAAGGAATGCCTTTCCATGTGTGGTGGATCCCCAGCCTGCCCCCTCCCTGGGCTCCCATCCCCCTGTCTACACAGTGAGGGGCTCACCCATGATGACCAGAAGGGTCTGACTCTGCTCTACCTCCTCTCTGTCATTCTTTCCTCTTTGCTTGGCTGACCTATCTCCTCCACACTTGCTGTAGGCCCAGCACGTTTGCTCAGAGGGTCCTATGTGGTGGGGAGCTTGCAGTGGGCCAGGCACCCCCCTTGGAAGAAGGGGTGCCCGTCTTTCTGTGTCCCATGCCCAGGGTGGCCCCATGGTCCTCCTCAGGGAGTTCTTCCTGGGTTTTCCCTGCAGCGACGTGGACACTGTGCTGTCTCGGGCCAATGCCACGGAGTTTGGCCTGGCTTCCGGCATCTTCACCAGGGACATCAACAAGGCCCTGTATGTCAGCGACAAGCTGGAGGCCGGCACTGTGTTTGTCAACACATACAACAAGACTGATGTGGCCGCTCCCTTTGGAGGGTTCAAGCAGTCCGGCTTTGGCAAAGACCTCGGTAACCTAATCCCGAACATATATTAAGGCCCCTTGGTGCCAGGCCCTGTCCTGGGGGCCGGGGGTATAACATTGACAAGATGGCTCCCGGTGCTCACTTTTTACTGGGAGTGGACAGGGGATAATTAAGGCAGTAAGCAAGATCCAGCTGGGAAGTGAGGAATGGAGGAAGTGGACAAGACAGAGTGACCTGGCCAGGAAGCCCGGGAGGGTCATTTTAGAGGGGACCAGGGTGGGCCTCTCCAAGGAGGTGGCGCCTGCACTGAGGTTTGAGTGGCTGGAGGAGGCGGTATAAAGACCTGAGGGTACGTGTTCCCAGCTGAGAGGACAGCAGGTCCTGAGAGAACCAGCTTTGGTCTTGGAGCTGCAGAGAGGGGCCTGAGTGCAGGGATGGGGAAGTCCGGAGGGGAGGAGGCTGGGGAGGCAGGCAGGGGGCCAGAGAGCAGGGCCCTGGGGGCAGCAGTCAGAGTTTCATCCACAGAAAGAGGGGAAACTGTGGAGGCCGAGTATGGAGGCCAGTGGGGCAGTGTGAGTCCCCAGTGTAGAGACAATGTCACCCGGGTGGGTAGCCAAACTCAAGCCCTGCCTGGCCTGCCAGGAGAAGTGGAGGTCTGGTCTGGCACTAGGCTATTGCATGATTTAGGATGAGCGCTGCTCTCCCCATCCTGCCACCATGGAATCCAGCAGTTGAGAACTGGCTCCAGTTGGGGATCCCAGCTCTGATGCCCAGCAGTGGTGGTGGCAGGGAGGGCAGGGTCTGGGAGAGCAGCTGTTTCCAAGAGCCTCCATCCCTGAACCCAGCTCAGGATGCTCAAGGAGGTTTGAGCTGAGGCTTGACCATAGAGAGGCTGCTATCTCATTTTCTCCCCCCACTCCATCCCTCATACCCTGCAGAAAACCCCAAGGATGCTTGTGAAAGAAGCCCCAACAACACCCCCAAAGCCTGGCACTACACTGTGCACCCAGAGGTGGGACTCACACTCACACACACATGCACATACACAGTGTTGGACAGTCCTGCTCCCTTTGTCCCTGTCTGCCACCCCTTCTTGGTTCCTCCACTGGAATCTACAAGGGCCACTGTTATTCAGGAGGCTGTGGGTGCTGGGTCCCCAGGATCTGGTCTGTCACTTATGACCCTGGCCCTGAGCTGCTCCAGCTCATCCTCTCTGCTGCCCCCTCTTCCTGTGTCCTGTGCACATAAACCAGGCACCCCCAGTAACCCACCGGGGTTTGGCCCAGAGACCTCAGCAGGCCCCAGCTGGTGAAGCGTGGCTCCTGGGGCCAACCTTAGCGGGTGGGGGAGATGTCAGGCAACCACAGGCCCCACATACGGGTTGTGGGACCGAACACACCAGCTGCAGAACATAGCCAAATTCTGGGTGCCTCTGACTCCCTTTCCCAGGAGCAGCATGACCTGGAATTAGCTGGGGGGGGCAGCAGTGGGGACAGGCGATGGACTGGTACCTCTGGGTGAGTAGGAGGGTACCAGAGAGCCTCTTGACTGCCCTCGGGGTGATGGGGCTGCCGTTCCTCTAGAGGAGGTAGTCAGAGCAGGGAAGTTTCTGGAACAGTGGAACAGTTGCTCCCAGTTAGTCTGTATTCTGATGCCTGTGGTGGAATCCTTACCACCCCCACCCTACAACTGATGCAGGACCTGCCAAGACCTTGGTTTCTCTTCTGTAACTGGGGCTGAGCCTGGGCGGACCCCACATGGTTGCTGCAGGGATCTGTGAGATAAAAGGGCTGCAGCGCTCGCAACAGTGTGGGGTCCATCCTAGGAGCTGCTGTGAGGGTGACCTTTCCCCATGGTACATGCTGTCTTGCAGGAGAGGCAGCCCTGAATGAGTACCTGCGGGTCAAGACGGTTACTTTCGAGTACTGATGAAAGGTCTCCTGCGAGAAAGCTCCCCTCTCCACAATGTGTCCTTGCCCTCCATAACCAGGCCTGAACCAGCCTGCCTTCTCAGGGAGAGACCAAGGCTGCTTCCCCGGAGTTCCTGCCCTCTCACCTCCTCCTGAGCAAGCAACACTTCCACAGGAAGCACTGGTGGAAGCCCCCTGCCTGCACCTCTGTCCCCACTGGGACATCCTCACCCCTGTCTGATCACAGTGGCCTTTGGCGAGGTGAGAAGGTGGCCCCAGGGTGAATAAAGGTTCTGGCCATTGGCAACCCCGTGTCTCTCTGTTCCATCTGTGGGTGCTCCTGGGTGGCCCTGCAGGTCCAGGCACTCGTGTGTATTGCCCAAGGAGGGTGCCCTGGGGAGAGGTGCAGCAGTGAAATGTGGGTGTACATCAGTTAGGACGAAGCTAGGCATGAGAGACATCTGTGGGGTGACTCCTGGGAAATGCAGAGCAGAGGAAGCAGGACAGGTTAGGGTTAGGGTTGGAACCAGCATCCCACCCCTCCACTTTGCTCTCTCTTTCTCCTCTCACCCTGCAGGACTCTGGGGCCTTCCCTTCTTCACCCCCACCCCCTAGGTCCCAAACATTACACCACCACTTACCTGCTGTTCCCTCAGTTTGCCCCACATGGCACTCTCTGCTTGGCATTTCAACCCCCTAGCCCACCTGCTCTGCCCCTCTGGGCTCCACAGCATCTGAAGATCTTCTCTTCCCCCTGCAGTTTCCCTGGCTGTGCTAGGAGTGGCCTGGCCCAGGCTGCACATCTGTTTGCTCATCTGCAAACAGCCCTTCCCAGCAGAAAGCAGGCAACATGTGGAGCACAGGCACATCTGAACCCAAATAGAGCCAAGAAACCCTTTTCTTCCCTCTTCAGACACACACACAGAGCTTGGTTTCAGCCAGGGTGCCTCTCTACAGTTCCACTTGAGACCTCTGGTTTAGATGTGCGGGGCTGGGCTCCTACCTTTCTAGCCTCCCCTCTCTTCAAGAATTCTCCTGAAACTATAAGGTAAGTATATAAGAAAAGCCACCCTGCTTTCCCCTCCTATTTCTTTCCTGTTGTGACTCCTTTACTTTTACACAGAACACTTCACTTCTGACACTTCTGGTCATCACATGTGGGGGCTGTGTCCCACATCGAGCAATTCTCTGTGACACCAGTTGGGTGTCCTACAATTAAACTCAATTCTGACACTATCCACCCAGAGATATAGTGTCAGATCCCACAGGTTAAGAGCTCAGTCCCACAAAACTGTTCCCACCCACTTTAGATGCCAGTCACAAGTAGCAGATCTCCAGGTTGCCCCACAACTTCTGTCTGATTTGGCTACAAATCGGAGGTTCCCATGACTCCCACCTGGAGTTACATTAATTTTCTAGAGGGGCTCAGAGAACTCAGAGAAACACTTATGTTTCCCAGTGTAATAAGGATATGATAAAGGATACAGATGAGCAGCCAGATGAAGAGATGCATAGGGTGAGGTCTGGGAGGGTCCTGAGCACAGGAGTCTCTGTACCAATGGAGTTGGAGTGGGTGTGGATGTCTTTGCCAACCTGGAAGCTCTCCAAACCCCATACTACTGGAATTTTTATGGACTCTACCTCACATAGTCATGATCAGTCATTAACTCCATTTCTAGCCCCTCTCCTGTATCTGGAGATTGGTTGGAGGCAGGGGCTGAAAATGCCAAGCTTCTAATCATGGCTTCATCCTTTTGGTGACCAGTTGCCACCTAGGACCCCCCCAATCACCTCAATAGAATAAAAGATGCTCCTAGTGCTCTTCTCATTTAGAAATTTACAAGGGTTTTGGGAGCCCTCTGTCCAATATGGGGTCAGAGACAAATATTAGTGTTCTTACTTAGGAAATTACAAGGGTTTCAGGAGCTCTGTGCCAGGAACCAAGGGCAGAGACCAATATGTATTTTCTATTATCTCACAGTAACAAGGATGAAACTATTAGTTTACCCATTTCCTTTATCCCCTTCTTTCTTGAGTTATAGAACCCCAAATTTTACATGGGCACATGGCTGACCAGAAGAAAGACAGAATTCCCAACCTCCTTTGCAGTTAGGTGATGGTCATGGAACTGAACCTAGCAGACGAAATGTGAATGGAAGTAATACCTGCCACTCCAGAGACATGCCCTTTAAAGGGGGGTCATGCTGTTGCTCTCCCTCTTTTCCTTCCCCTGGGCTGGCTGGAAGCAGACCCAGGAGACAGGGTGGTGGGCATTTTCCGACCATGCAGATATGGCAACACCTGTGGAGGCGGATAAATGGCACAGAGTGGCAGACACTTAAATACCAAACATCATGGGGTGATGTTCCAGAGTACCAGATGGTGACTGGTACACGGAGGTGACTGGCACATGAGGGAAATAAACTTGTTGTCTTTTTGTGATTTTTTTTTTCCCTCGGAGTTTACCTACAGTGGTAGGAGGGATGCTTTATTTACTTTTTTTTTTTTTAATTAACGTATAATGTATTATTTGTTTCAGAGGTACAGGTCTGTGATTGATCAGTCTTACACAATCCACAGTGCTCACCATAGTACTTACCCTCCCGAATGTCCATCACCCAGCCACCCCTTCCCTCCCACCCCTCTCCACTCCAACAACCCTCAGTTTGTTTCCTGAGATCAAGAGTCTCTTACGGTTTGTGTCCCTCTCTGGTTTCGTCTTGTTTCATTTTTCCCACCCTTCTCTTTGATCCTCTGTCTTGTTTCTCAAATCCCTCATATCATATGATACTTGGCTTTCTCTGATTGACTTATTTCACTTAGCATACTACTGTCTAGTTCCAGCCATGTCATTGAAAATGGCAAGATTTCATTTTTTTGATGGCTGCATAATATTCCATTGTGTATAGATACCACATCTTCTTTATCCATTCATCTGTTGATGGACATCTAGGCTCTTTCCATAGTTTGGCTATTGTGGACATTGCTGCTATAAACATTGGGGTGCATGTGCCCCTTTGGATCCCTACATTTGTATCTTTGGGGTAAATACCCAGTAGTGCAATTGCTGGGTCATAGGGTAGCTCTATTTTCAGCTTCTTGAGGAACCTCCATACTGTTTTCCAGAGTGGCTGCACCAGCTTGCATTCCCACCAACAGTGTAGGAGGGTTCCCCATTCTCTGCTTCCCCACCAACATCTGTCGTTTCCTGACTTGTTAATTTTACCCATTCTGACTGGTGTGAGGTGGTATCTCATTGAGGTTTTGATTTGCATTTCCCTAAAGGCAAGTGATGTTGAGCACTTTTTCATGTGTCTATTGGCCATTTGGATGTCTTTGCAGAAATTTGTGTTCATGACTTCTGCCCATTTCTTGATTGGATTATTTGTTCTTCGGGTGTTGAGTTCTTTATAGATTTTAGATACTAGCCCTTTATCTGATATGTCATTTGCAAATATCTTTTCCCATTCTGTTGGTTGTCTTTTGGTTTTGTTGACTGTTTCCTTTGCTGTGCAAAAGCTTTTTATCTTGATGAAGTCCCAATAGTTCATTTTTGCCCTTGCTTCCCTTGCCTTTGGCGATGTTTCTAGGAAGAAGTTGCTGTGGCTGAGGTCGAAGAGGTTGCTGCCTGTGTTCTCCTCAAGGATTTTGATGGATTCCTGTCTCACATTGAGGTCTTTCATCCATTTGGAGTCTATTTTTGTGTGTGGTGTAAGGAAATGGTCCAGTTTCATTCTTCTGCATGTGGCTGTCCAATTTTCCTAACATCATTTTGTTGAAGAGACTGTCTTTTTTCCATCGGACATTCTTCCCTGCTTTGTCGAAGATTAGTTGACCATAGAGTTGAGGGTCCATTTCTGGGCTCTCTATTCTGTTCCATTGATCGATGTGTCTGTTTTTATGCCAGTACCATACTGTCTTGATGACGACAGCTTTGTAATAGAGCTGGAAGTCCGGAATTGTGATGCCACCAGCTTTGCTTTTCTTTTTCAACATTCCTCTGGCTATCCGGGGTCTTTTCTGGTTCCATACAAATTTTAGGATGATTTCTTCCATTTCTTTGAAAAAAGTGGATGGTATTTTGATAGGGATTGCATTAAATGTGTAGATTGCTCTAGGTAGCATTGACATCTTCACAATATTTGTTCTTCCAATCCATGAGCATGGAACGTTTTTCCATTTCTTTGTCTTCCTCAATTTCTTTCATGAGTATTCTATAGTTTCTGAGTACAGATTCTTTGCCTCTTTGGTTAGCTTTATTCCTAGGTATCTTATGGTTTTGGGTGCAATTGTAAATGGGATCGACTCCTCAATTTCTCTTTCTTCTGTCTTGGTGGTGTAAAGAAATGCCACTGATTTCTACGCATTGATTTTATATCCTGCCACTTTACTGACTTCCTCTACGAGTTCTAGCAGTTTTGGGGTGGAGTCTTTTGGGTTTTCCGCATAAAGTGTCATATCAACTGCAAAAAGTGAGTTTCAGTTCTTTGCCAATTCGGATGCCTTTTATTTCTTTTTGTTGTCTGATGGCTGAGGCCAGGACTTCTAGTACTATGTTGAATAGCAGTGGTGATAGTGGACATCCCTGCCATGTTCCTGACCTCAGAGGAAAAGCTCTCAGTTCTTCTCCATTGAGAATGATATTCGCGGGGCACGTGGGTGGCTCAATCATTAAGCGTCTGCCTTTGGCTCAGGTCATGATCCCAGGGTCCTGGGATCAAGCCCCGCATTGGGCTCCCTGCTCCTCGGGAGGCCTGCTTATCCCTCTCCCACTCCCCCTGCTTGTGTTTCCTCTCTCACTGTGTCTCTCTCCGTCAAATAAAAATAAAATCTTTAAAAAAAGAGAGAATGATATTCGCTGTGGGTTTGTCATAGATGGCTTTTAAGATATTGAGGTATGTACCCTCTATCCCTACACCCTGAAGAGTTTCAATCAAGAAGGGATGCTGTACTTTGTCAGATGCTTTTTCTGCATCTATTGAGAGGATCATATGGTTCTTGTTCTTTCTTTTATTAATGTATTGTATCACATTGATTGATTTGTGGATGTTGAACCTTTGCTGCATCCCAAAGAT